TGTCATCAGGATGTTAATTTAGATGGTGGGGGGGCATCAGAGACTGATCAGCTCTGATGGGGTCGACTGGATGAGGGTAGTATAATGTTTGAAAGACCCGAAACTTGCCCAATGATCCAAATCAGAATATCACTTTTTTAACAGTGCTCATATTTTATTTTTGCTGTTATCATTTCAGTTTTTTACCAGAGCTCATATTGCAATTTTCGTTGTTATTATCGCTTTTCTCTGGTACTCCGTATTACTGGTTCCCATATTGTATTCATTTCTATGCTTGGTCGGCTCAGGAGATTTTTGTGACTTAGCATATGTGCTGATTCCTTAAGTTTACGAATTTTCCAATGATGTTCTTTGTCTATGAATTCAACCTGGTCCTACATAAAGTGGTGATCTCCCTTTTCTCTCTATATGTGGTCAGCCACACCTGATTTATTCTTTGGAATAATCTGTAGAATACAAATTGTCTTGACAGATGAATTGAGCCAGCACCAGCATTGAAATGAGATATAGTCTGATTCACTGCAGCTATTCGTTAGGTGTTTTAAACAAAAGTTTACCCAATATAAGCCACTCAAGGGGGCACCTCGGAGTAGTGTAATGGTTAGCAAGCTTGTGAACGCCTGTTAGTGACTTCGATCCTTACTGGGTACTCCATACTTTCGGCCTTGTATCACATCTAAGTTATGCTTGTGAAATCACTATAAGCCACTCAAGGTAAAGGTTAAAATATTTGATAGGTCAAATGTGTGAAATAAAAAAAAGAGGAGGCGCTGAAATTAATTATGAGGAGGAGGATAGATAATGATTGACATTTAAATTGAAGAGCATAAGATTTTAGTGTTTAGGGAAGTCTGCTGTTGGAAAAAAGTCAGCCTGAGTGGAAATTTCGGTTCTTTTGTTGCATCCACCTGTCAGGGACCGGCAGCTTTTTATTTCCGCTGATATTTGTTCGGAATCCACGTATTCCTATTCTACCATAATAGTTATTAGCACCACGAATATAGTGTGTCGCAGCTTTATTTCCCCATCAATTATTCTGTGGTAAAACGATATTAAATTATGTTCGCTTCCCATAGATACTATGCCACAATTGCACTACCTATCTACTTATTAGGTCACCCGTACAACATCCGGTGGAGTCCATTTGTGAAGGTGGGAGAGATAAAACTATCCATTATATTGATGTATTTAATTTTTGGCACTTCATTTTATAAAAGCATTTTTCACTTTCGAGAATAAATAATTTCATCTTTCTTTGGTTTTGCTCACTATTTTAAAGCCTCCGCTGTGTTTCCGCGAGAAAACCCGAGATTTAAATGGATGTGTGTGTTTGCGTCTCTCTCAGTTTTCTATGCTGTATGTTTATATGCGTCTCACTTTGAGAGCGGAAGGTGTTGCGCTTAAAGATTTAAAATGAAACTGTACGCCATTTTTTTTTTGTTTTTCTTCTTTTAGCCAGCTGCTTTTATCCTAATGGAAACTTTGGACATGATTTTATTTTTAATGCATAAGTAATTCTTTTTCCCTTTATTTGTCTTTGATTATTTTTTTTTTTTTCAGAAAGATTTTAAACATTTCCCATTCTTCATCTCCGGCCAGAGAATGCACTGACACTGTGATTTGTAAAAGAATGCAAATGATGTCCGACATCGACTCCAACTTAAGTCATCTAGAAAACGGCATTTGTTTGTAATTTTTAATTTTTTTTCCGAGTCAAAATCTATGGAAACTAATGTGTTTTATTTCATTAACAATTCTGAGTTGAAACGGTATCATTATTCCACGCACTATTCAAACTAATATCCTGATCATTTTTGTTTTGATTCTCCATTTTAAACGGTGCTAACATTTCCTCAGATTGTTTGAAATATATATATATATATATATATATATATATATATATATATGACAATGGATTATTAGTGTTTAAGCCTTTTAATTATATCCTTACTCTGTCCTGGACATTGAGTTCTACCTGGATTCTATCCTCTTTGAATTTTTTTATTCAAAAAAATATATATGTATGTGTATGCATGTATGTATATATATATTTATATATTTTGCATATGTATGTGTACATTTACCCCTAATATTATGTATCTATCTATCTATCTATCTATATATATATATATATATATATATATATATATATATATATATATATATATATATATATATATATACAAGTAAATGATTGGTGTATATGGAATAAATTCCAATAACCAACAGTTACTATTCTTAAAAGAGTGCTCAATACAGAGTAGAGCGAATATATGTATACTTGTATTTTGATTGGTCATTTCAGCTCGTGTGACAGCGTTTCCCCTTACGTGGGGTAGTTAATTAATTTGAACCTTTTCAAACTTTTATTCTACAATCTACATTCAACATCATCACTTGATAAGACACCAGAGGTGTTGAAACAAAATGGCTATTTTGTATTGATTTTATAACATATTTATGTTATAATTTTTATATAAATAATTATATATATATATATATATATATATATATATATAAGTGAACATTAAAGTCAACACTCAGAGGCGGCAGGCTGTTTCATGCTGGACGCAATCGTCAGGCAGCATGAAATAGCCTGTCGTCTCTGAGTGTTGACTTCAATGTTCACTTTTATATTTATAATTACAAACGCTCTATCTCTGATATTGAGCACTTTATCCCATAAATATACCACATTAAAACTATATTTCTTAATATATATATATATATATATATATATATATATATATATATATATATATATATATAACTAAAAAGGGTTGAACACTAATTTAAAGCCTTTTAATATATTCTTACTCTGTCCTGGACATTGAGTTCTACCTGATTCTATCCTCTTGGAATATTTTTATTCAAAAAAATATATATTTATGTGTATTCATGTATGTATATATATTTATATATTTTGCATATGCATGTGTATATTTACCACTAATATATATATATATATATATATATATATATATATATATATATATATATATATATATCGTTAAAGCCGACTAGCAAGGTACTGTGTTTAAGCTTTTTACTTTATTTTTGGACACAGTGTATAAAAACTGTCCAAACTCTAAATAACATAAACTGCGAACACGGACTCAGTGTGCTGACCATGTTTGGAAAATAAAACATTCCTACAATTTTAAACACATACATAAAAACCACACATTCAGTTGAGAAATAAAAAACAAAAATCGTCCTTGATAATGTGTAAATGAATAGCCGAAAGCGCTTGGATATCCAGATGTTTTGTACAGTTTTTACACAGTTTATGTTCAGAAAAGAAAACAATTTTACGAGCACAAGAAAGGTAAAATAAATGGCTTAAACGAAGTACCTTGACAGTCTTCTCTAAAGAAACATTTATAAAAGAGGAAATACTGCCCACATACACTATATATATATATATATATATATATATATATATATAGATAGATAGATAGATAGTTTATGAAAAACTAGGTAATCCGTATGGGTAAACCTAAGGAGGATAAAATCCAGAGACCTCAATGTAAATCCTGAGCAAATAATTTAAATAACAACAGACCACTTTAAGGTTCCATGTAATAAATTATTTCACCACATCCCCTTCAAAAGAACTGCGGATCATCAGAGTTTACTTTCAAACAAAAAATGAAAAGAAAATTTACACATTTTTGACGGGCCGTATTAAACATATGTAAATTAACGAAGTGAGGAAGTGAGCGGGGAGAGAGAAGACATGAGTGAGTTAGCAGATATTGACACATTTAACTCACTCATGTCTTCTCTCTGTGTAAATGTGTAAATTTTCTTTTCATTTTTTGTTTGGAAGTAAAGTCTGATGATCCGCAGTCCTTTAAAAGCGCTGTGGTAAAATAATTTATAACATGGAACCTTAAAGTGGTCTGTTGTTATTTAAAATACAAAGTAGAGCCAAATATTATTATAATAGATTACAATGAAAATATTTTACATCGCTACACAAAAAAAGTTTGATGTTTCGGAACTATAATGGTTCCTCTTCGACCGATGGTAGATAACATATGATACAAATGATTTATTTGGGAAATTACACACACACACACACACACACACACACACACACACACACACACACACACACACACATATATATATATATATATATATATATATATATATATATATATTCTCACTTTAAACGTTATTTTTAGTCGCTACTCATATTTGAGTAGACGGTCCGTTTATTTATCAAAGTGTATTAAGGAAACTTTGATCGTGAGGAGTATGACAGCGGCATAATCGTCAATGGTGCCGGTTTATCGTGACATGAAAAAATAACTCACCCAACCCACCCTCTGACCATATTTTTCTATTTACCGTAGATATGACATTTAATTGGTTAATGCAGACATACCCACAAGTCTATTTTTTAATTTCTAACCTTATGCCCCACCCTTTAACTTTAGGAAAAGAGGTAACGATTTGATTTTAAAATTCCCTAAGAAATCATTTTATAACGAGTTACGTACCATCGCCTGAGGAAGCACAATCATAGTATTGAAACATGAAATCTTTTGTATAGCGATTTAAAAATGTTTTATTATAACCTCTTATTATAAAAATTTAATATATATATATATATATATATATATATATATATATATATAATGTTTGACAACTAAACGGATCGTCTACTCAAATATGGGTATCCACTAAATAGCGTTTAAACTGATAAAATATTAATTTTATATTTACAAGACTATTAAAAAAATGTCTCTGTTCTGCCCTCTGTTTCTTTCTATTCCTTTGCCTTCAATACATTCTGTGAGTGTCAAATTCCATCGATTCTGGTGCCATTGCAAGAATTACCAGAACGTGGCTAAATAGAGTTATAAACTGCCCTAAGGTCTCCGAGTCTGGATTTACACCTGAAGCCAGCAGAGTTTTTATATCAGTTTTTCCTTCTTTGAAATGGACAGTTCTCTCAGGTTAATGAGCTCTGTCTCTTTGATTAAATCTTGCGGCAGCTGATATTACCAAGCGGTCTCCTATCTATGTACTAGACATGCTCGAGGCTGCTTGACTTCGGTGATCGGAGGAAAACCGATGTATCCAACTTGGTATAACTGTAAGCTTAAGAGGTGTCTAGATCATGGCTTCAAATTCTGCTTCACATATAGAACGGCAGGATTTCATTGATTTATTGCATTATTCCATCTTAAGTGTTTCCATCCTTGTTTTCCATTGTTTTTCATATTGTTCGGCTAATACATAGACCGAAGAATCACACAAGGTAAAGCTCCTGCTTCCGTTTGCGATGAGGAATTAAGAAGTACAATATATAAAGCTTATAGTAGTAATGTAACAAATTCATTTCTGCCAATGGATGACGCAATTGAGTACAAGGAAGTGTGGTAAACGCTTAAGAATTACTATGTCCCTTCAGGCCGTAGACGATCACGACTCTTCACAGCTTCCTTCCTTCTTTCAATAATATCTCCCTTTGGAACGTACGTGATCATGACTCTCCACAGCTTCCTTTGCTTTTCAGTACTGTGTCCATTTTCTTCTTATTAGTTTTTTTGGCTCTAACATTGTTTTACTAATATTCCGACAATACATAGGCCTAAGAGCCACACAAAGTAGAGCTTCTTTTAGAGTTTGAAAGGAGCAATTAAAAAGTGAAGTTTATTAAGCTATGTAGGAAAGATAAACGTTAGCACTAGAGATGAAGATGTTAAGATTGTAGTGGTTGGGAAAGCATCATCTTGGGAGTTTCTTCCAGAAAAGTAGCGGTTCTTGGTAAAAAGATGTCTGCGTGGATCGTCGTCCTTTCTAATGGAATATCTTCATAATATTCACCCCCGTTTCCCCTCGGTACATTCTTGTACCCTTGTATTGGGTAAGCAATAGAAAAAAGAAGAAAAAAAATAACATGGTGCAATGTCTAGCAAGCTTGGCTCAATAGATTAATTACAATTGAATAGTGATTTTGATTCTCACCGGCTGTCCCATACTTTCGTTCGTGTGCCACATCTAAGCTTCTCTTAGAAAATCCGCATAAGCGCCAGATACGATTACCTCTGTACCGTACTGTGAACGCTTATTGTCAGATACAAACTTTCAACTAAACCGATTCATCTGCACAGGTGAGTCTAGCTTCTTTTTTTTTTTTTTAAATTCTTTTTGATCACAGGATGATGTTTAAGAAGTGTGGTTTCCCATGAATGGTACAACAGTGCCAGATATCCCAAATATGTTCCCCCGTATGAGTCTTTATATCGCCTGATCCTGATAAGTAATCGTATTATATTTTCCCCTTGTCATTTAAGCTAACTTAATGGGGCTTTTATCATGTTCTTTCGTCATATCCGTCCACTAGATAGACGCTCATAGCCCTTCACATGTTCCTATCTTTTCTTGCTCTAAGTAACTTCTTTACACTTTACCATCAATATTCGTCCTTGTTCTGACATGCAGTCACTCAAATTCGTTAAGTAGGATAGTTTTTTTTCGCTGGGATAGATTTTGGTGGGGACGAACAGGAATAGAATATTCGCCTGTCTAGAAAAATCAAGAATGTCTACATCTACTAAACAAAATAGAAATTTGGCCCAACACAGTCTTCTTACGTTCATTTTCTTGCATTCGATCTTACGATGTAAAAATCTCGGGTTAGTAAATATATTATTCCTTCCTTATTTACCGAGTTCCAAGATAAACCGAGAGCAAGACGAGAAAACATCTTTTACCTAACGTATACCATGGGTCTTCTTCTTGTACGTATCGCATTCCTTTACGATGTGGAGGCTCCTTGCTACCCACAAATTCCTGTCTTTTGTAACTCTTGGTAAAGTTTGTCTTTTTCCTATATCACCTGAATCAGGCGTATCCAAAGTCCGGCCCGAGAGCCAATTACGCATCGTCCTCGTTCTGACATGCAGTCACTCAAATTCGTTAAGTGGGATCGATTTTTTTTCGCTGGGATAGGCTATTTTGTAAGGAAATTTGTTTTGGGCTACGAACAGGAGTAGAATATTCTCCTGTGTAGAAAAATCAAGAATTTCTACATCTACTAATCAAAACAAAAATTTGGCCCAACACAATCTTCTTACGTTCAATTTCGGCCTGCGGTCAAATTTCATATAGCCCCCATCATCTGTTAGAGAATATATCACTTACGGCCCGCCCGTATTGTCAATCAGAGTATGTAAGTATGTAAAGTACACTGCAAAGAAATGCCATTTCATGTTTTACCAAATTGCAGCAGAATTGTTTTATCACTCTCTGACACTGTGGCCCTGATCTTGTGCGTTCGCAGCCAATGTCTAAAATCACTGTGTTTGAACCAGACCTGGCCTACATACTGTAATCCAGATCTCAGTGTTAGTTCAAGCAAGTTATTTGTTTGGGTCATCTGAGATGAATAAATTCTAAAATCTTTGTTTTGTATTGATCAAAATCAGTTATAAATATATTTGGACACTTGGACATGTGTCACTTCATGTTTTTTGATTTCTTAATAAGATGAGTGTTAGTGTTATGTTCCTATTCATATGTTTTTAATTTAAAAATTGACAGACAGAATTAATTACCAATAATATGTAATGTGGCATCATGCATAATTAGAAAACTGAAAAGAGATATTCATAAATATATGATTTGTTTTTTCGGTTTGTTAACCATTTGATAATTATTTAGAGCTGAAAAATATTTCGGGGTTGAGAATAATTCTTTAATTGCGTTCAGGCGATCTGGGAGAAAGAAAGAAAAGAAGAGGAAGAGGAAAGAAAGGAGAAAAATAAATAATACGAAACCAGGTCGTAAGCGAAAACACACACGCTCGACTGGCACATATCAGATGTCAAAAATATCAGGTCAAGCACCTGACCTACTTCCGTGTCCGCGGAGGATGGAAGTTTGTTATCAATTTGGTTGAAGAAATAAAGTTTAGAGACAATGGAAAAAATATGATAGGTAACAGGTGGGAAGTTTATCTAAGGATATACAGACAATCCATTAATACGAGAACCCAGACAATTCTAGAGTTGGAAAAAGCCACCCAAGGTGATGTCGCTTTTTTGAGATAATACAGATTTTTATTATCGGCCGGAGGAGAATGAAATATTTTGTGGCGTTCAGAGAAACGCCGACAGGTCTAAGAAATCCCTTTCTTAGATCGTATCCAATTAGCGATAGGCTGTTTGACAAATACCGCGTGTAAAAGAAACCGGGATCGTCATTTCGATCACATACGAAAAAGACAATTTAAATTTTTGTTTCTTTAAGCAAGGTGTTTCTTCCCCCAGAACAAAGCCACGGGTTGTCCACGCCCGATAAAGACGTTACGAAGGAAGGAGGAAAGATACCGACCAGAGTCTCATTGGCCGAAGGCGGTCACATGATACATGAGGGAGGAGGAGAGACACCCGACCAGGACCCCATTGGCCGAGAGCGGTCACATGATGTGAGAGGGAGGAGGAAAGATGCCCGACCAGGACTCCATTGGTCGAGAGTGGTCACCTGACATACGAAGGACCAGGGGAAGCGGGTATAAGCCCCCCCCCAGAGGCACAGTAAGGAAGTAGGAGTGAAAGTAAGTTACCGGGTATGGAAAATCTCTAATCAGAAATAATACGTCTTTAGAATTATCAAGAAAACCCTGGCGCTGACAGACCCACCCCAGTTTTTGACTGCCTCAATAAAAGCGGGACCACAACCGACATAAATCAGTTGCAGCTGCGCCGCGGACGGCGAGGGAGTTTGAGCGCGGGCTGCGGGCCCGGTTCATTCGCCCCTTTGCGGGCAAGAAAGGCCGGTTCGTTTGGCCTAAGAAGAGAAATTCGTCCAACCCAAGTCGAAGTGAGAAATTCGTCCAACCCAAGTCGAAGTGAGAAATTCGTCCAACCCTAGTCGAAGTGAAGAAATTCGTCCAACCCAAGCCGAAGTGAATAAGCTCGTCCAACCGAAGCCGAAGAGAAGAAGTTAATTCGCGTACTGACAGCGGAGATGAGTGAACAATAATTCAGACTCTGAAGAGAGAGTTAGTTGCAGCCACGGACGGAGAGAGAAATCAGCCGTGAACGACAGATAGAGATGAGCGCCCAGTGTCGAAACCAAACCACACCCCGAAATGCAAATTTCTAGAGAGCAGGCAACTCGAAGCCTTAAAGTTGTATGGTAGAAGCTTGGTGCCACGGTCCACAGAACGGGTCGGGAGGTAGGAATAATCTTGTGTAACGAGCAAATAGATATAAAAAGTTGTTACCTTTTTCTTCAATATTTTTTACCTTGTGAGTTTTATTTTTCTTGTGTTATCACCCCGTTGGACTCAGCTTGCATACGGCCCAATCCCCTGTTTGATCCCGTCTGTCTAAGATCTAATCACAACGTGGGTAGGCAGACCGGAGATCAGTGCAGTTACCCTGGTAACCAGGCGTTGGAAGCGGGTTGGGAACGACGAGGCTGGTATTCATCTAACCAAAGGGTTAGAACGTCACACTTGGAGCAGCGAGGAGCGAACAGCTGACGCCGCGGCAAAGACCTCACAACTGGTGTCGTGAGCATAGGATCAGAACCCCGGACCACCTCACGTCACAATTGGCGCCGCGAACGAGATCGAACGACACAGTCGACGCTGCGACCAGGGGGACGACGTCACAGTAATGTTTAAGATTAAGTTTCCTGGAAGTCCTTTTTATTTTCAGACATATTTTACTTCATCTTATATGGGTTTCAGATATGTCGGCCTGAGTGATTTTCGTAAGACCGATTTAAATTTATTTGTCAGCCATGTGAAAAAATATTCCATTTGCAATATAATTTTCATTAATTTATTTGCATTTAATTTTAATGATTTAAATAATGACAAGCAGAATAGTTGGCCCTCATGCATATTCACGCCATCAAATCTGGCCCTGTTTGAAAAAATGTATGTTGTTCTGTCATCTATTTCGTTATATAGTTTATATGCTGCATTCTTCTATCTATTTTAACTTTAATACGCCCTGTGTGTGTCAAATTTTCCAAGCCCAATTTCTTCATTCTATACGTATGCATTATGCCTTATTGCAATTAGTGTTAATCTTGCTTCCTTTAATAATTTCTATGAAAATTTTCGTTCTATATTCG